ACTGCATCCGGAAATTGCGGCGGTTGAATTATTGCAGGTGCTTAAAAAATGCTCTATGAAAAGAGAGGAGAGAGAGAGAGAGAGAGAGAGAGTGAAGGGGGGGTGTTAAATAGAGGGACGGTAAATTTTACATTTACAGAAAGTGCGACGTATATTTCAAAATGTGGTTTAAAGTGTTTCACTTATATGACATATATATTTGCCGAATAGGATTTCAAAGAGTTCCACTTATCATTCACAAAATAGAAAATTCAAATTTTTTATTATTATTTTCAATTTCAATTTAATATTGAAAACGAATCATTGAATTTTTAGGGCTTCGTGACTTATGCCCAATAGCCTATCACAGAAAATTAAAAGGCATTAAAATAAGCGTTGCAGCTTATTTTAATACCTTTTAATTTTCTGTGTTAGTTTTGCTTTGGCGTTCGTCCGTCCGTCCGTCCGTCGTACACTTGTATACGGTTACCATGACATTTAATTTATAAATTTTTTTTACTCATTTTTTTTTATGATTATATTTATATTTAAAATTCAATTTAATATCCAATTTTTTTTTTTTCAACCAAGTGTGTTAATTATTTAATACACAGTATGTGAAAGATTGTTTTAACAAAAAAGTTAATATTCTCTCTGTGTGCGAACACAATTTTTAACAGTTTAATTTTTGGACACTTTATTAAATAATAAATTATTATACGTTTTTGTTGTTTTTTATATATATAACAAACAATAGAATTTTTCAGGCAAATTTTAAATTAAAGTACTTTAAAGAATTAGCTTAACGATTCATAAATGAGAGTAAAGTACACAGGTGTAGTATATTCACGACCAGCTTTAATAATTCCCAAAAAAAAAAAGAAATGACTTTTATGAAACCATGACATTTTAATGTTTATGTAGTCATTTTATGGTTTCAATTACTTAGGCAGAAGATAAACAACACGCGGATTACGTTTTTATTTTGTTTCTGTCGAAAATTGAAATTGACTTTGTATATGATAATTTTTTTTTTTCATAATAAAATTTTTTTTTTTATAATATTAATTATTATAATTATATATGAAAATATAGTCTAAATTGAAAATAGTTAATACACCTTTCGTCTAATTTCCATTTTCCATTTCCCCAGTCACTTTATCTTCCATTTTGCACTTCCATCATATATATCAACTATATACCATATCCGTCTCATTATCCGCTTTCGTGACAGTTATCAATTCTCAACTCCCCCCTTTTCCTTCACTTGTCTCTGTAAGATTATAACGCTCATGACAAACCTATTACGTGGTTTATGTTCGAGACGGTCCAGTTCTAACAGAAACTTGATGAAAATGTAATCACAAACTGCTCTCTAAATTTGATGAGCTTTGTATATAACGATACTAATTTTCTAAATAGTTTATTGTCGTTAACTAAAGAATGACCTTATATATATATGTTATAATCTAAAAATTTATGACCCAGTCAGAGTTTATGGCCGCATATATATATACAACTGAATCTTGTGCTAATAAATCTGTAGAAAGTCCAACATTAACGCAAAAGATTTTATCGCATTTCTTGTTATGAACATCTGCGAGTCGTATTTATTTCTGATAACATTACTTAATTATATTCATATCAAGATTTAATTATTCATATTTAATAATTAAAAGAATAATTAATATTTAATTATGAATTTTTAAGTAAAATTAATTATTAATTACTTTCTTGATTTTAATTAAAAAGTAGTAATTTTTTTTCGTCGTTTATGTAATATTTATTATATTACTAGTAATCGATAAATTAACGATGATAATGCTAATTTAATTGAAATTTATTATTTAAATAAAATTGAAGAGAAATATTTTCAATTTTAAAAGAATATGAATCTGATAAAAATTTATTAATTTTTTAAATTATTTTTTTTTTTTGCTTTTTAATATATACTAATTTGTTGGAAATCCTTTAAAAGGATGAAAATATATGTACATAATTTTTAATTAAATTATTGATAAGAGAGAGAGAGAGAGAGAGAGAGAGAAATATCGAAGAGATATGACTTAATTTAAAAGATGATCCTGTGAAATAATTTCAAACTTATAGGAAATTCGGATCGTATTGCTTTTACCCTCAACTTTTTTATTATTATTTTATTTTTTTTTTTAACTTTCTGACATTTCTCGCAGCGCTCATTTTACTATTTCCCGTTCCACTGAACTCAACTCATTCTCTCTCTTATCAAATCTACAAGAAGTAAAAGATAATTTCGTGGAGACACGATAAAAGTAGTTTTTTTTTAAAACGCTATTCTCTTATTTCTATAATGAAAAACTAGTTAACATCATTTTATATATAATTCTGATTTGTTTTATCAAAAAATTTTTTTTTTATTATTTTTGTTGTTATTATTATTATTTAACTAATGAAAAATAGAAACTCTATTAAAATTTTACAACATGGAGAATATTTTTTTTTTTTTTGTATAAAAGAAATGATTCTCTGTTTTCAACGAGAAAGTAAAATTTCCTCTCTTTTTTTTACATTCATTTTGTCTTTAAAAAATAGAAAATAAACTGCACGAGAGATATGTATAAAAACTAAAGCATATTATCCTGTACATATTTCTCTTTTTTTTCCAACTATTTTAGTCCAACTTTAATGCGATGAATGAAACTCACTCCTCTTAAAAATGTAGTACGTATATAATATGATGGTATATACTCTTCACAGGGCTTGTTATACTAATGAAAAATGTCTTTTTTCTTTAACTTTATTATACTGGATTTTATATTAATTTTTTTCTCTAACGAGAATTTAAATCTTTATAAATTTTAGAAAGTGAATTTTAATTTATATTTTTTGTTTATTATTACTAATTTTTTTTTTGTTTTTTTATCTTGTGCAATTTTAATTTTAATAATTAATTTTATTGAGGTTTGAAAAAAAAAAATTTAATTTATTTTTAAATGGAAAAAAAATTATCAGTAACTATGCTCGCAACAGAGGGGTTAAAGTGTAAGAAAGGAGTTGATAGCTTTAAGGTTCAACATTTAAAAAATTAACGACTTTCCAACGGGCTATTTTTCTCTCTCTTTTTCTCTCTCTTTTTCTCTCTCTTTTTCTCTAAAATCGACGAGCACAATTTCAACTTTCAGGCCGGAAGCTCGTCGATGTCTCTAACAATTTCAAGCTTGCTAAAACTATATACTCACTTCCATTCCATTTTACCCTCGATTCTCGTCGACCCTCTGTCCTGAGTGTCGTAAATCTTGCAGGAAACGTCCCTTTGCGTCCACAACAGGTCGTGCATGATCCAAGACCTCGAAGAAAATTCTACAGTTAGTGTATTGCTCTATTACCTTCTCCCCCCCCCCCTCTCATTCCCATATAATGTTTGTGGCTATATTCCTCTTTATTACATAAATAATGTTACATATAAACCTCAACTTTTACCCTTGCTTAATTCACTTATATTTACTCTAAATTTTAGTTTAGGGAAAATTTCTTGCATTTTTTTTAACAATGTAAACTAGTTTTGGGTTTTTTTTTAAAATAAATATATATATTTTTTTTAAATAAACTTTATAAGGTTGCAAAATAACCTTTAAGGTTGTTGCATAGTATTCTTCAAGGTTGTAAATTATTATTTAAGGTTGTAAAGTATTTTTTAAGGTTGCAAAACAACCTTCAAGGTTGTAAATTATTATTTAAGGTTGTAAATTATTCTTTAAGGTTACAAAATAACTTTTAAGATTGTAAAGTATTCTTTAAAATTGTTAAAAAAAATTTTACAAGGTTGCAAAATAATCTTCAAAGTTGTAAATTATTATTTAAGGTTGTAAACTATTCTTTAAGGTTGAAAATAACTATCAAGGTTGTAAAGTATTCTTTAAGATTGTTAAAAAAAACTTTACAAGGTTGAAAAGTATTCTTCAAGATTGTAAATTATTATTTAAGGTTGTAAACTATTCTTTAAGGTTGCAAAATAAATTTCAAGGTTGTAAAGTATTCTTGAAGATTCTTAAAAATAACTTTACAAGGTTGCAAAATAATCTTCAAGGTTGTAAATTATTATTTAAGGTTGTAAACTATTCTTTAAGGTTGCAAAATAATCTTCAAGGTTGTAAATTATTATATAAGGTTGTAAACTATTCTTTAAGGTTGCAAAATAACTTTAAAGGTTGTAAAGTATTCTTTAAGGTTGCAAAACAGCCTTCAAGGTTGCAAAATAATCTTCAAGGTTTTTAATTATAATTTAAGGTTGTAAACTATTCTTAGAGGTTGCAAAATAACTTTCAAGGTTGTAAAGTATTCTTTAAGATTGTTAAAAAAAACTTTACAAGGTTGCAAAATAATTTTCAAGGTTGTAAATTATTCTTTGAGGTGTAAACTATTTATTAAGATTGTAAACTATTCTTGAAGGTTGTTAATTTAATTTTACTATAATAAAACCATCAAAGTTGTAAATTTTTTTTTAACTTTAAACCTTATACATAGCAAACTGTAAGGTTGCAGATTATTTATACCTTCAAAGTTATAAAGTATTTTTTAAGATTTTGTAAAATAGTGATTAATTTTTAAAATTTTTTATTTGAATTCGTGTTAAAACGAATTCATTTTTAAAAAAAAATTATTTATAAAAAATATAAATATATAGAAAATTTTTTAATTACAATAAAAAGAAAAGGTAAAAAGAATTTGTAACGTACAACAATAAAGCGTACCAATAATTTTTGTAATGCATCGTGCATTGTTGCGATAAAAGAAAATTATTCTAATATTTCGGTTAAAATTTATCTTTCTTTTTTTTATATCTATGTATATATGTTGGGAAGAATGTTATCCTAAAATCCGGTTAAATATTTTATCATTCTTTTATTTTTATTTTTTTTTTCATAATATATATGATATGATTTTCAACAAATCACGTATAATAGAAATAGAAAAAAAATATTTAATATTTTTATTCAAAATTTATAATTGTTATTAATAATCTATTTTTTCTTTTGTTTCAGGTATGTGTCAACGTGAAAATTTTTGATGTATTCGTTAAAACCCATTGTCTAAAAGGTAGGAAAATCATTTTCCAATATTTTTCTTTTTTTAATGTAAATCTCCTGAAAAGCTTAACACAATTATATATATACAGTTTACGATAATCAATGAATGTTATTTATCAAATCCTGTAATTTTCTTTTTAGTTTAAAAATATGTTACCGCTTTTTTTTGGTCTATATATATATATATATATATATATATGATATCGGAAACAGTTAAAATGTGGCTCGCCTATTGTGTATTTGAAAAAGTACTTGCATATCGATGTCATAAAGCTTTTTTCCTGAAATACTCGAATAGATTTTAAAATTGAAATAAAAGCATAAAAAAAAACTTGAAAAAGATTGGAACTTCTGAATTTATCATGAAATATATATATATATATTCTATTCATTTAAGGGAATATATGTATATATGTTGATCACAATATTGAACCTAAAGTAAATTTCTCTTTATTTGAGAGTTTTCCTTTTAGATTGAAAATATATTCATCTGTTATTGAGAGGAATCTTCAATAGTAGATGAGTATTTTTCATTCAAAGAGAAAAATATTATCAATTGAAAAGCAGTATAGCACTATATATATATATATTGCAGAATATCAAGTTGTAAATATAAAGAATTTTTTTTTCTTGTTATTATTTTATATCACGCGAATAAATAAATTTTTATACTTTATTAGGATAATTTAATCAATATGAATTTGTCCTATTGTAATTTTTTCTAATTTATATATTTAAAACTTCTTTTATAATATTTGTTTTATTTCGTTTTCGGCTAAAGTTTCGTTTCAGAGACGATTTTTTTTTAGATTTCAGATACCTGATGGCTAAATCTTTCGTTTTTTCTGCGGATGTTTATTGTATTTTTCTTTTTCAAACTTTTTCTAGATATTTTGAGCTTTTAATCGCATAAAATTTGTTTGCAGTTTCCGTTGAAGTGAAAAACAAAAAACTTTCTCGAATCGTTGCTATATTAGCAGAAAATCCTTTGTTATTTCAACATATGAAGTTTTGTTTGTTTCATTTTCGAAACGTTGAAAATCTCTCTCCTGGTAAAAAAAAGGAAAAAAAATGTAGAATAAATTATATATATAGGGTTGCAAATTGAAATTCAAGGTAAAATAAATTATAGAAGGTTAGAAAATACATTTATTAGATTGTAAATTATTTTTGAAGGTTGCAAAAAGGTTCTAATAGAAAATTATAACACTGAAAAAAAGATTTGGTATTAACAACCAAACATTTGGTTGGTATTTAAAATTTTTTTGTTGAATCAACAAAATTTTTTGTTATCTCAATCAAACTTTAGTTAGGACAACAAAAATCCTTTTTTTTCTAATTTTGGTTGTGTTAAACAAATTTTGATTGAGACAATTAAAATTTTGTTGATTTAACAAAAAAATTTTGGTTACTTAAATACCAACCAAACGTTTGGTTGTCAATGCCAAACCCTTCTTTCAGTGAAGATTGTAAAACAAAGTAGAAGGTTCTAAGTTTGATAGCACTATAATAAATTGAAAAAGATTTTCAACTAAATTTAAAGGTTATAAATTATTCTTCAAGGTTGCAAAAAGGTTCTAATAGAAAATTATATTATAAAACAAAGTAGAGAAGGTTCTAAATTGAAGGTTCTAGAACAAACTATCTGTAGAGTAAATTAGATGAGGTTTGCAAAATTGAAGGTGGTAAATTATTTTTCAAGATTGTAAAAAAAATTTGTAGATTCTAGAACAATTTTGAAGGTTGTAAAGTTATTTTTGAAAATTTTTAGGTTGTAAAACAAGCTGTAGAACCTAGATTAACATTGAAGGTTGTTGATAAAATTTTAAGGTTGTAGAATACTTTGTTAAAAAAAAGTTCTAATAGAAAATTATATTATAAAACAAAGCAGAGAAGGTTCTAAATTGAAGGTTCTAGAACAAACTATCTGTAGAGTAAATTAGATGAGGTTTGCAAAATTGAAGGTGGTAAATTATTTTTCAAGATTGTAAAAAAAAATTGTAGATTCTAGAACAATTTTGAAGGTTGTAAAGTTATTTTTGAAAATTTTTAGGTTGTAAAACAAGCTGTAGAACCTAGATTAACATTGAAGGTTGTTGATAAAATTTTAAGGTTGTAGAATACTTTGTTAAAAAAAAGTTCTAATAGAAAATTATATTATAAAACAAAGCAGAGAAGGTTCTAAATTGAAGGTTCTAGAACAAACTATCTGTTAGAATAAATTACATAAGGTTTGCAAAATTGAAGGTGGTAAATTATTTTTCAAGATTGTAAAAAAAATTTGTAGATTCTAAAACAATTTTGAAGGTTGTAAAGTTATTTTTGAAAATTTGTAGGTTGTAAAATAATATTCAAGCTGTAGAACCTACATTAACATTGAAGGTTGTTGATAAAATTTTAAGGTTGTAGAATACTTTGTTAAAAAAAAGTTCTAATAGAAAATTATATTATAAAACAAAGCAGAGAAGGTTCTAAATTGAAGGTTCTAGAACAAACTATCTGTTAGAATAAATTACATAAGGTTTGCAAAATTGAGGGTGGTAAATTATTTTTCAAGATTTTAAAAAAAAATTGTAGATTCTAGAACAATTTTGAAGGTTGTAAAGTTATTTTTGAAAATTTTTAGGTTGTAAAACAAGCTGTGGAACCTAGATTAACATTGAAGGTTGTTGATAAAATTTTAAGGTTGTAAAATACTTTGTTAAAAAAAGAGTTTAGAAATTTTTTTTTTTTTTGATTGCATAAATTGAAATATAACAATTTTGTAATTTCTCTCGTCAACATCACTCAACACTTGTTCGTCTATTGTTTGTTTCTATTTGTTTGAATCGATCTGATGTACTTTGTGGAATTGGTCGTTGGTTGATCGTAGCCATAGTATACTGGTCAATATAACCACCCTTTCCTGTATCACAAACACCAGTTCCATTTACAATTGTGTGAACCACAAACTGTATTTTGCGATTTGCAGTATTCGACCGGTATTCACTTGCGAAGGGATTCCCTGGATGACTGAGCAGGTTGCCAGGGACTTCCCCGATATTCATATATATATATATATATATATATAGCCGATTCTATGCATCCCTTTTGTTAGTTGCGTCCCATATTTCAACAAGGTCGTTGAAGCGACTCCCATAGCATTCACATGCGAGTATACACATTCTGTTCAAATGTATCCTCTATATATTTTGGTTCATAATTTCCAAATTAAAAAAAAATAATTCTCAATAATAATATCGATATGTAGGCGAAATTGTCAATTATTATTTTTATATTTAATTATTTGTAAAGCAAGAAAAACTTATCTAATTTAAATTCCAAAGTTTATTTTCTTTATCATTTATTGATCAAAAGAGAATTTTTTGAGGCGAACAGAAAATTTCTTCTATTAGGGAAAATTTTTCTTTAGATCAAAGAAATGTAATGTATTTCCATATATAGCAAAAGTTTGTTTGTTTTATTCAAAAAAAAAAAAAAAAAATTCCTTTTGAACGTAGTAAATTTAGTAAAAATTCTTGAATTTATTTTTCTCTCTATTTCACTGAAATATTCATGAAACGTGTGTGACCTGGAATTTTTCCTAATACTTTACACAATTTTCCTTGACATTGGCATATTATATATGTATATGGTATTTTTATATTTCTTTTGTATATAAAATTTAAAAGAAAGAAAATTTTTAACTATTTTTCATAATTATTATTAAAAAAAAAAAAAATTAGTCAAAGAAGATCTTTAGTTGGAAAAAAAAATTTATTATTTGTGAGTGCGTTAACTCATTCATTTCCTCAGAAAAAAAAATATATAAAAAATTTATTTTAAGAATCATAAAAGGGCGCGCTCATTTCATATTCGCTCCGGGCGCCATTTCATCTAAAGCCGAACCTGTTAATAATTTAAAGGAGTAAAAAACAAAATGTTTAAAAACATTTTTAAGGGAAGTACTTAAAATTAATCAAAAAAATATTATCAAAAGATGTTTTTATTTATTTTTTTTTTTTTTAAATAAAAATGATAATAATATAAATAATAATATCGGAGAAATATGTTTCTTTAAAATGAAAATAATTCATTTTCTCGTTGTGAAAATCGCATTACGTTGAATAAAACGTTGATTTATTCAGAAATTTGCAAAATGCATTCAAACGGAGATTTCTTCGACACAGTACTTGAGTTGAAGGTGCTATTATGGACCGCAGCATACAATTCCCTATGGAACGAGACTTTTGGATCATGAAAGCCCAGGAACTTCGCATTATTCACCACCCGATATTAATTTGAATCGAGTGTCGGGGAAGTTATTCACAAAAATTGATTGTGTAATTTTCTCTTTTAGTTTATTTGTTTTTTTTACATTGAAATATAAAGGTGGATTAAACTTAAATTTTCGCTATGTAATCCGTGAAAAATGTTACTCCCCCCCCCCTCTCTCTCTCTTTAAAAATTAGCTTCTATTATTCAATTTTCATGATTTCTACTAAATAAAAAAAATTTACAATATATACGTTCATTACATTTAAAACAATTTCGAAATTTAAATAAATTATAGTTTTTAAAGTATAATAATTAATAATTATTAAATAAAAAATATATATGATAAATTTTTAACGTGAAATAAACTTTTAAATTTAGAGAATATAACTTTTATAATGAGTTTTATACCAGTAAGGAATTAATAATTTTTTTTTTTTTTCATTTTACCGAGAGTTAAAAATTATTAGAACTGAAATAACTCGAGCAATTAACATTAAATTAAAGTACTCGTAACTATATATATATTTCTGCACATCAAATAATTTTCCTCATTAAAATTGACTTTTAAATGTAGAGAAATGAAAATTGTTTTTGTAAAACTCGTTTCTATAATTATTCCTACGCAAATAAACTGTGAGAAATTATTTGAATTTTAATGCAAACTATTTTCATTTCGTCTCTTTTCTTTTCTTCCTTTTTTTTGGTTTGAACAACAAACAAAATGTGGTGAATAACTTCTCTTTTGCAATTGGT